CTAGAAAAGGATGTTAGAAATAGAAAGGAAACAATAAACAGGGGGGGCTATTTGTGAAGAAAAATCCAAAAACATTTGGCTACTGACTAAGTTGAGTAAAGGCCCCAAAGCATCATTTCCAAGTAGCTGGAGGAGTGGTTACCCCATGTAAAAGGAAGGGAAATGGTAAGAGACTTGGTATAAGAAGAAAAAAATTCCACTTCAGGCTTGTTGTGTTCGGCTGTCAGTGAAGCATCAAAGTGGAAAAGACTCATACCCATTGGGGAAAAAAGGAACAGGAAGTCATGTGAGATGACAGAACTGGAGATAAGTGAGAACCATCCTCTCAAGGGAGATGATTAATGTTCCTGAGAAAACAAACATGAAAACCTTTATGATGTATCAGCCAAAAAGTGTTTTTCAGTTTTAAACAAACAACAGCCAAGAGATTAATAAAATGATCTCACTTTTTCTTAGAAGTGTTTTGAATGGAAGCTAATTATACACTTTAATAATTAACATTTAAATTTTTTAGAAATGTTTACTACAGAAACTGAAGACCGAATTCAGGTCCCTTGGCCTTTTGAAATGTATTTTTCCGTATTCATGTCTATCCTATTTGAGTTCCCAGTTTATGATTGCGGTGGTTTTATACTGTGTTACCTCAACTAAGGTGGACCTACATTTCCCAGAATTCCCTTCCTGCGCAGTTCTGGATGAGAGTTGAGATGAGAATCCTGTATCAGTTTAGGACCAAAGTGACACATCAGCCCTGGACTTGCTTTGGTTGCCTCTAGCCATGATTACGGTCTGCATACCACGTTGCTCATCACTGGCTCTCTCATCAATGTGGGGGAGCAGGGATTGTGGCTAGATCTCTTCCTACATCTTCTCTAAGTCCCAGGCCAGGGAGGTACCTTGTTAGATTTCTTGGAGAAAGGCGGCCATTTTTCTGCAGCTGGCCTGAAACCCAGGATCTGATGTGGGGAACGACAGACTGCATTCTCTTCTCATGGACTCTAGTTTGTTGCAGCAGGTTCAGTGCTTTTTCTTCCCTCTGCTTTGAATCCTGTTTTCCCTCTGTCTGCAGAGACTCTAGGCTGCAATCAGATGCATAGGCAATAGTCTTCCAAGGACATCTTCACTAGCCTTCCTTTGTGGCCCTGATCATTAAGTTTTTGCTTTTCCTCTAGCTTGTCCTGTTCTAGACCTTGCTTCCTTGATTTCTTCCACAATTATGTGATGTCTATTCCCTTACCATATTACACACAGTAGCTCTTCTGGTGCAATTGTTCACGTGCTTACATTTACCCAGGCATTTCCCTACCCAACCTCCCTTGAATTGATTTCACCAAGCATATTGTACTTATTCTAAAGGGAACATTAGCTACAACCAAAGGATAATAACATTTCAAAATGCATCTTAATAATTTAAGATAAACATTGATAGACTAGGAACAAATATTAACATAAGGTCTGGGGCAACTAGGACTTCAGGTGCTTGACACGGGGCATTTACCAGCACCCAAGCTCCAGCTGGTAAGTGATAGAGAAAGAAATTTCTAACTTGCTTAAGCCATTGTTATTTTGGTTTTAATTTATATCAGCTGAGTCTAATTTTTAACAATACTTACATTCAACATATTTGAAATCAGGTTCAGTTATCCAAATAAATGCACATCAAAAATTCTCTTCTTATCATTATACTTCTCTTTTTTCCTATAGTTTGGCCTTTAAAAAAAAATGCATACTCAACCTATCAAAGCTGCAAAAAAAGAGCAGTTGTGTCTCTACCTTGCAAAAAGTACAGAGTGGCCCATGTGACAGCCTGGTGAGTATACAGTGACAAACTACTTTCATTCATTCTTACTTTCAATGTCACTTCCAGGAGAGGGCTGAACTAAAAATAATTAACAGATAATGTTTGGATCTGGAATGTCTAGGCACCTGGGTTAAAGGCTTAGACAACAGCCTGGGTGCTATGGGAGGTGTGAACCTTTAGGAGGTGGAGCCTAGTGGAAGGGAGTGAAGTCATTCGGGGTATGTCTTTGAAGGCAATATTGGGATCCAGGTCCTTTGCTGTCTTTCTCTTTGCTTTCTGGTCACCACTATGTGGGTGTTTCCTCTACCACACATTTCTGCCATGAGGTACTTCCTTGCCACAGGTCCAAAGGCAACAGAACCAAGCAACCATGGATTAAAACTTCAGAAACCACGAGCCAATATAAATCTTTCCTCCTTTTATATTGGTTTTTCTGCTCCACACAGCAATGGAAAGGTGACTAGCACATTAAAATTTGCTGTCTATTCTTGTCTTGGACTAGGGAATTAATGTTAAATTTCAAAATACAATAAATGTTTTCATCTAATCCAACAAGTTGCTCAATTTTTTTTTTTTTGAGGTTTGGTGTCTTTGTTTTTAAAATTCAGTGAATATTATTTCTTTACAAGGTAGTGATGAAGGTAAAATGAAGTACTCCAAAATATGTGAAAACATAATAGGTGTCAGTACATATTGGTTGACTTTAAACTTTAATCATATTTTTAAAAATTAGAGTAGATTGTTGTTTAAGGAATCCTAGAAGGTAAATAACAAACATTCTCTAGTAATTGTTTCCAAAACCAAAGTAGGTTTCCTGAAAAAGGGAATTCATGATCTAATGCAAAGTGGTATCAAGTGATGTGTTAAAAACTGCAAAATTTGCTGCATTTTCCAAAAATTTTCAGAAGTCAAAGGCAGAAGACTGGCATGAGATTGAAAGGACTCTAACCATGAATAAGTTGATTCTGGAAATTTAAGATTACTATA